AAACAAGAATTCACGGCAAAACCAAAAAACCAAAAAAGCTAAAGAGAATTCTGGAAAGTATTCTGGGGCTAGGTGATGATGACCTAATGTTTATGTTCAGCGAGAAACGTCCCAAGCATCAGATAATACAATCTGAGGATAAGACATTTATAAATTAAAACCAAAAAACATGGTTGATTTACAGAAAGAAAGGTTTGCACACACTGTTCTAAAGGCTTCTTCAGGACCTAACCTGAAAGCACTCCCAAAGGCTCTGTGTATGGGGTTCATTCTTGCACTGACCAACTGTACAAGTTTTTTCCTGGGATCCCACCATATCTTTCTTGCACTTAGAGTAGCATATTCAGCTCAAAATACTTCTCATGGTAACTCTGAGAAGTTGTACATACATGTGACATAATTAATGACTTGAGAAAGTACAAAATGTCTTGCTCAAAAATATCCAGAGAGCCAAGATAAAAACCCTATAGCAAATGCTGGGTGCTTAACTTAGAAGAAGAATTTTAAAAATCTCCTATGGTCCTCTATATCCCTAGCCCCATACAATGTGTTGGTACATAGTAGGCACTTGATAAGGTGCTGTTAATTAATTAATTAAGAACAAGGACTTGGTGAGGCCAATCTCATAGGGTTTTGTGGGGAGAGGAGTGAGGTTTAATTGCTGTCCTGTAACCTCCGATGTTGTACTGAGTCTGGTGTATGTGTCTCTGACGCTTCTACCTTCCGTCTTCATCCACACATCATCAGCCTGCCAGCTCCCTTGAATGACAACTACCCAATGGGTAATTTCTCCCAAATGTGAGTCCTAGGAAGACAGACTGGACATGGTAGCCATTTATCTCAACAGACTCCAGGAGCAAATGCAAGGAGAAATATGGACGACTTGGTCCATTTAGCTCTCCGAGACTGTTCGCTAGTTAATATTTTATTTCCAATCTACAGATTCCATAAACCACTGAAGTGCCTCTGTCCAAAGCCATCTCTGTGGCGTATGGGGAATGGAGGTCTGTGAACTGTAGGAGTCCCCCAGCCAATGGGTACGTGACTCATGGAAGGAAAGATATGGGTACTCAACATAAGCCAGAGGGGACCCTTGAGAAAGAGGAGGGTATGAGCAACTAATAAAAAGCCAATAACCACGTTAACAGCAACAACAGTAGCTACAGTTCACTTAACACGTGCCATTCGATGGAAGTAAGTTGTAACCTTACCTGCATCTCCCTATTTCATCCTCTATCAACCCTACGGCGGCAGGTGTAGTCTTCACTCACCTGCTAAGGCAACTGTGCCTGCAGAGGTTATTAAGTCAGCTACCCAGGGCAGTATGAGATAGAAAGGCAGGAGCGGATCTCATCTGCCCCACAGTCTGTGTCTTTATAGGATTGTAACAATCTTACAGACTGTGTAGACATTAGCTTTCTAACTCATCACCCATTCTCACTCAGTTAGTGCTGGCAATCACTAAGGGGTTGGTTGGGCCAGTCTAGGGCTTTCCTCTCATTCCTGTGATCCCTGGTGCAAGTAGAGCCTTCCCCCCGCCACCAGGAGTGATCATGAATTAATGTCCCAATAGCTTTCTATTTAGCTATGTGAGAAAGAGGAGACAGGGCTCTTCATAGCCTACATTCTTTACTTGCTGGGAGAAATTTCAGAAAATATCAGGACGTGGAGGGAAAAACCAAATCACTAAAAGGAAATGTAAGAGCATCCTTAGTGACTCCTCCTGGGTGACTATCTTGACGTTGGATACTTCCAAGGGTCACTCAGGGCTTCACAAAGGTGGCCTTGGAGGTTCTGTGGATTTTTTTCAATCTCAGGAAAAAAAAAAAAAAAGGAAGCTATACATGGACATAGGATAAATGACACATTCTTCGCTGCAATTTTAGTAAGAGTATTCATATTGGATACTTCATGGAAAACAGAGGTTTAGGATGACAGATATGTCTTCAATTGGTGACAGTGGGAAAAGTAGATTCTTCCTTAATAAATGCAGTGTTTTTTAGGTGATGGCTTATGAAAAGATGGGGGCCTCTGAGTATGAGGGAGCATCGCAGAATGAGAGCTTAATGTGGCAATTTAGGAAATGATTGGATTTTTCCTGATTGGATTTTCTTTCTTTCGTTTTCTTTTTTGGTTTTAAACTTTTCAACTAAAAAAAATTTTTTTAACTGAAGTATAATTGATTTACAATGGAAATGACTGGATTTCTTCTCTCTCTGGAAGCTTTCTGGAACCCAAGCTGGTGCCCATGCAACACCCTATCTTATCACATCACATTTGTTGAAATTGTTAGCATCTATGGTGTTCCCTGTGCCTGACCGTAAGAAACTCCTCCAAAGGTGCCATTTGCCTCAGCAACCTTAGCGTAAGACAGTGCATCGAGCTGAGAGAAGCAATTAACTGGACTGGAGAAAAGACAGTCAAATCTAGAAATCAGGAAACTAAAGGACTTTGAAGACAAACAGCTACAGGAAATCCACACTATTCCCGGGACCACCTGAATCCTGATAATGTCACCCTGGAAACAGAAATGGGTTTCCAACCTCTCTGCTACTTGCTTCCACTCAACATAGATCAGGGCGCTCTCGACTCCAGCCAATGTCTGCTCTGTGTCCTGCTCAGCTCTTTTCCTCTCCAAGATGGGCTGCCCCTCCCAGGCCCTCCCGCCGTGGACTCCTTCAGCCTAAGCCAATGAAGGGAAAGGAACCTCCATTGAAGATGCTGAGTTCACACTTTTTCATTTGGTTTCAAAGCACTCCAGGCAGTTTGTAATCCAGCAAAACACCCGGGCAACTAGCTGAGTTTCCTCCTTTTCAATCTGCTCTTATAGAACATGCACACATGGACACACACACCCTTAGCCCTTCTGAATTTCCTACTCTGCCCGTCTTGAGAATTTTCTCTTCCTACTAGGTGTGGTTTCAGAATTCCAACCATAATATTGCCAGTGAAGAGGCACAATTCACCATTATAACCAAAATGATTAGGAAGATCACTGGAATATTAAAACGAAATCATGTCCAAAGCAGTCACCAGCAACGTGCTTCACCGCTTGGAGATGCCTGGTTCTCTCCCTGGCGAACATGGCATTAGTTATACCTGGTTATTGCCAGCAAAGAGCAAGTTCATTATAAGTTAGCAAATTTCAATTTTACAGCAGGTGTGTTACTCTGAGATTTTTATAAATTGTTCACATGAGGATAAGCCATACAATTTTATTTTTTTCTGTTCAATATAGTAGTGATAGACTGAGGGTACACAGACCAAAAAGTGACAATTACCATCTACTAAGGTAAGATAATGATTTTCAGGCAAACTAATGTGATATAAACATGCAATTCTGCATTTACGGCTTATGAATCTTGCTTTCATGAGCCTAAAGGGTAACTTATTTTTTCTTCATAACTCATGATGTGACCTTGGGAATAACAAATCTTTGTTTCTGTCTTTTTGAATCCAAAAATGGGCTCGACACTGTGGGCTGGAGATAATGATCATACTAGCAATGATTCCTTAGAGTGCACAGTCAGATACATAAGGCTTAGGACATGGAGACGCATTGTTTTGGAGGGTTGGGAGAATTTAAGGCCGATTCATCCTTGGTTCGTTATTATCCTCCACCTTTTCGGTAAAAAAAACTCTAATGACAATACAGAAATGATGGACATTGTCTTATTTCTCTGCTTTTATTTTCCCTTCCTGATGATTTCATCAAATTTCACTTCTTAATATTCTTAACTTTGTTTCATTGCATTTGTTTTTAAAACACTTCAAATGCTCTACTTGGGAATGCGTGAGATATGAATAAATAATGAACAAAGAGTGTTTCCCTTTGTCATCAGAATAGAGATGATCTAGGCTTATTCAGGTTTTCTAAAAGATGGATAAGCCAAAGAGCTATAGAAAATGCATTTAACCCTTTCACACAGTCCTGAATATAGCCAGATTCTTTCTAGAGACCAGAAAGCCAGTCTCCTGGCCAGACTGTGCTGGGTATAGCTGAGTTTTCCTTTGAGTGGTGCTATTGGCATTTGGGCCCTGTAACTCTTTGTGTTGGGGGGTGTGTTGGGAGGCTGTCCTGTCCTGTCCTGTGCATTGTAGGACTTTTAGCAGCATCCCTGGCCTCTACCCAGTAGATGCTATCACAACAAACAAAAATAAAAATGTCTCCAGACATTCCCAATGTCCCATGAGGACCACTGCCTTAGAGACTTCCCTCTCTCCGACTCCAGGGGACCAGAATGTTCTAGGAGGATTCCTAACAGCGAGGCAGAAAGGGTAGCACTTCAAGAAAGCAGCCCATTACGCCAGTACCAATGTTTTTTTCCTCAGCATTCACCACCATTCCTTGATATTCACTTGGCAATAGCAAAGTCCATGTACAGAAAGACCAAACGGGCCTTGGGGAACAAATCAATCTGCATTGTCCTCAGAGAGGGAAAAAGGAAGGCAAAGGCAATTTTGGAAAATCCAACTAAATGAGTCACTTCCAATTTCTTTGAACTTCAAGAGTTTGCATTAGACTCGACACCTAATTTTCTCTTCTGGGCCAAAGGTTCATTCACCTTGAAGCACAAGATGTCTTTGGGGAGGGGGGCAAGACCGCCCCAATGGATTGTACGTTTGAAACCCTCCTGTTCCTCCACCGAGGGATTCAAAGGGCAAATGTGATCCAACCTCCTTAATCACCAGATGTTTGCAATCATCAGAAAGACGTCTTGGGCTGTAACCATTTCTCTGTTCTCCAGCATTCAGTCTCAAAGAGAATTTACATAACAAAATGTGACATGTAGAATGCTTAAAGGCACCAACCATGACAAGACGAATTACACTCATTTTTCAAGACTCTTTGCAAGGTGCTGCACAGCAAGCGCGCGGGCTGCATGCCGGGCGGTTCAGGGAGGCGGGGCGGGGGCGGTCAAGGCCGGCATGCGCTAGATCGCACGCAAGGGGTGCTGGTGCGGGAGGCCCGCCCGGGGTCGGGGGGCTGCCCCACTTACCCGCCGTAGGCCGGGATCGGGGGCGGGGGCGCCGCGGCCCGGAAGGTGTTGTACACGGTGCGGCCACGGCCTCGCAGGTGCGCCCCTCGGTAGGCGGCCGCGGCGGTGGCGGCTGGATACGGGAAGCCGGGCACTGCGGGCGACAGGAGAGAGCAGAGCTTTCAGAGGCACTCCTGCCTTTGAGGGAACCACCCGCCCCTCCCCACCCCCACTCAGGACCCTTCTCCCCGCAGGCCAAGGCTGGACACCTGCCCCCCTTCCTTCCCAGAGTCAGGCTTCCAAAGGCGGGTAGGAGGGAGGAGACCAAGGTCTGATTCCAGAAAGGATGGGCTAGTTCAGCCCGTGGTCCCTGTGCCCAAGGTCAAGGACAGACCTTCACAAAGCATTCTTAATAACCAGAGAAAAGCTCACTGCACAAACTTAAATTTTTAAAAAGGTATTGCAACAGATTGCAAGATGTATGTGCAGTGTGCTCTCAAGTCTGTCTACCTATCACCCATCTATGCATAGTGTGATATATATGTGGATGAGCACACACTATGCATATGTGTATATGTACACATCTGTATAAGCATGTGTGCATGTGGAAGTGAATATATGTATATATGTGTATATACAATATACCTGGATGTTTGTGTGTATATACATGTACGCATGCATGTGGGTATGTGAATGTGTATATGTGCATATTTATATATGTCTGCGTATTTATATAGTTATATATACAAATTCATATACATACATATTTCAATGTGTTTGTAGTTATCTCTGGGGCTGAACTTCATAAGTAAATGTTAGTTGTCTATTCATAGCTTTTCCCCAACCCACTTTAATTTTTTTTCCTTATTTTCCTTTATGTACCTATATTGCTTGTTAAAAATTTTAAATTGAAATACTGCGTTCCTAGAGACAAGTGTACACATCGTTGGTGTATGGACCTCTCAGGCTCCAAGAAACAAATTATTACTAAGGTCCCATCAGCCCCCAAACCATTTATACAGCTTATAAAACCATTTCTACCACAAACGTAATTGCAGAGAAGTGTGGGAATTCGACTTTGAAGGAAAGGGTTTGGGCAGGGTTTTCTTCCCTGGGGGAAAATTCTCTGAGCAGAGTGACTTGGTGAGGAGTCAGCAGGGAAAGTAAGCCTGATGCTTGAGATCCCTGATAATTAATATGGCTTCCGCTGGCAGGGGTGTCATTCCTCCTAGGATGGCTGCAAATCCTCAGGCATCAGGGCCCTTGAAGCCTTCACAACACCACCTCTGCCTTCCTGCTCTTTCTGTCACTGAATCTCACCGCTCTCACCATGCTGGCCATGCCTGTCCCATCCCACTTAGCAGCAGGCACTGTTGCCCACACTGAATCCCGTGGAGGGGATGCTTTTTTAGGAAACTACTGTCCCAGGAGCTCTATATTAAAGGCTCAGAAAGTCCTAAGGTAAGGGAAGTGCATTAACACCATTAACCCAGAACCCCCAAACTTCATTTTTCCAGGAACTCTAGTTTGCAGAATACCCAACCTCTCACAGGTATTGAGAGCAGTCAGTCATTTGTTACCTTTACCTCTTCTATTCATCTGCCAGCTCCTTGAGGCCTCCCACCATATCCCATTCATCTTTGCATCTCCCTGCGCCTCCCCCATGTCAGCAGAAGCCCCCTGATTTTGTCCACAGTAGGTTCTAGATACTGGACACAGTAGATTCTAGATGACTTACATGCATGAACAAGTGAATGAACCGTGGGCTGTGGTCCAGCCAAATGATTGACAGACTATCCAGGGAACTTCCTCTCCCTGTTCCATTCTCTCCCCTCATCCTGCTTACCTAACAGGAGCTTTGAGGATTTCAAGAGAGAGGGAGACAGATGACATGAACCAGGGTGGGATGGCTTTCCTCCCCATCTACAGCCCTGCCTCCCCTGCTCCAACTCCCCTGGGATTCAGACAGTGTTGGTAACAACAGGCAAGGCTGGGAAGGACACAGCTTCTCTTGGCATCATAGGACCGTAAAGGCTCAGAGAGGCCTCACAGCCAAGGAAGCTCCTTCCCCGAGTTAACTCAGCACATCCAAGCTTCCCTCTGCCAGGATCTCTATTTTGCTGAATACCTAGCCTCTCACAGGGTGCTGTATTTCATATTATGTTAAACTTGCCTCCACCTTACATCCAAACGGCAGAGAAGGGCTTTTCCCCTCCCCGCTATCACGTTCAAGAGTAGAAGCCCTCCACCCAGAGAACACACTGGTGGTTGCCAAGGGGGAGGGGCCTGGGGGAGGGATGGAGTGGAAGCTAGGGGTTAGCAGATGCGAGCTTCTATATATAGAATGGATAAACAACAAGGTCCTACTGTATAGCACAGCACTATCTTATGATAAACCATAATGGAAAAGAATACTAAAAAAAGAATGTATTGATATATATATATAAAATATATATAACTGAATAACTTTGTTGTACAGCAGAAATTAATGCAACATTGTAAATCAGCTATACTTCAATTAAAAGAAAAGAAATAAAGAGTAGAAGCCCTTCACCCCATTAATTCCCATTACTCCCAGAGTCCTTGGATAGAGTAGGTTTGCAGCTGCATGTGGGTGGCAAGGGGCGGGGAGAAGAAGGAAGTGGGATTTCCCACAGGAGCCATTCCCAATTCTATATTCATGGAATTGCATGGCGTGGAATATAAGCCTTGACCCAGAAGTGAAGGCAGACTAGCTGTCGTCTGGAATTCTCTGTGTGTTCTTGAATGGCCAACAGCTATCCTGTTTCGTGGATTCTACCATATCCTTCTGTACTGATGCTGGTAAATGCTAGGGTGGTAGAATCAAGTCAGAATGATTTTTATCCTTCTATTTATGTCTTAGAAGGCCACCCAGGTTACTTCTTTTTTTTTACATTGTCGTTCAAGACAAATCATACAGCAGTACTCACTTCTCAGCTTTCCAGCCCTCACCACCCACGTTTCCTGGCTGGTGTTTCAACTACTGATCTTGAAATTGCAAAGAGGTGTCACAACCTCAATGGGAAAAGCAGGGAGACCTAATATCGTAAAGGCCCAGGAGTCATGAGATAGGAGATGTTGGCTTTAGGACTGGGGAGAAAATGAGCAAGCCTGCCTTTGACTCCAGCGCTATCTTGCCACAGTTCAGATATTAAGTTTTCAGAGGAACACCTTGGATTTTGAAATAAAGCAAATGAAAAGTTCACAATCTGGCAGAGCAGCTGGCTGCCTGTGTGAGGAAACACAGTAATTATGCTGACCCATTCATTATCGCTGGCTACGGCATGGAGTGAGCCAGGCAAGATCCCTCTCAGCGACAAGCAGGTTTTACAATAATTCTTCGAGGATTTAGATGTTGAGATAGAACATGAAACAGAAGCTCAGCAGTAGAGCGAGGGGAACACAAGCTGCTAGAAGGGTAGAGCCAGGATGCCACTTTGTACCCCCTTTGCTGCAGGGAGAAAATATCCTTCTCGATGCAGGATAAGGGATTTACGGGTCTTAATACCAGGCTCTTTGGGCTGCTCCAAGCAGGGCACATTAGAGGGATTCTTATTTTGTTAAAGGAACAAGGGAAGGACTGCACATTAACTTCCTGGGCAACCAAGTACCCTTAGGTAAAATAAGGAGGTTCCACTGTAACAGGGGCTTCATGGAGAAGGCACGTGAGTCTCCCAGATGGATGGTTTTCTCAGCTATCCCTTTCTTGTTGCCGTCTAGAGCTGGCCAAGGGGTCTCTTTATGAAGTCTCTAGCTAGTCACCGTGATGGATGAATGTTCCCTTCTCTTCCCCTCTTTTCTCCCCCCCTCCCTTCCTCCAGAAAATAAGCAGGACCCTGTGGGGCTCCTGGGCACAAAAGCCTTTCTGTGTCCCCTTCCATGAGTTTCAACAGGCAGGTTCAAACAGTTGCTAATCAGGGAAGGGAGGGGTTGGGAAGACACAGGAGGGGCAATCAAGAGACAATAGCGCAGCCTTGGGGCAGAGTCCTGGTTCCCCCTTAAGGGATACACATAATATCTTTGAGATGTTTTGCAGGTACTGCAACCCCTGCCAGGTGGGAGAAGTTAACAGTATGCTGCCCACAAGCACGTAGACCCCAGACCGGTTGGAACCAGAAGGTTGATGATGCTGACTCCCACTTACCTCACCACCAACCAATCAGAAGAAAGTCCACGAGCTGATCACGCCCTCCTCTTTGAACCATTACTATAAAACTCCTCACTAGCCCCTCCAGGTCAGGACACACAATTCTGAGGGCATTATCCCGCCGTGGCCCCTTTGCCTGGCAAAGCAATAAAGCTATTCTTTTCTACTTCACCCAAAACTCTGTCGCCAAGATTTAACTCGGTGTTCAGATACAGAGGCCAGATTAGGCATCCATCCCTCCCTCCCACCCTTCCTCCCTCCTTCTCTTCCTCCCTTCCATTTATTTTCTAATTTCCTTCTGAAGAATGCTGCCTTGAACCTTCCCGGGTGTACTAGCAATCAAGTAACTTGATTGATCAAGTAACAGAAGGAAAAAGACTCTCACCATTGCTAAAATGCAAGCTCCATGAGGGCAGTGCTCTACATCTGTTTTGCTATTTGATTTAAAAAACTGCCTGACACAGCAGCGCAGGTGTCAGCTACCTAACACCATGCGTGGACACCCTTTGATGGTGAACCCATGTTAGTCTCCTTCTTTCTGGGACAGTAGAGGCCCTTCCTCTTCCTGTTCCACCTTCCACAATCCAGTCCTTTATACAAAGCACCCTGCCCAAGATTTGCAGATAAACAGTGTGCAAATAACACACCGGATCTCACTCGTCTTTATAAAAACAATCACTGCGCCCATACTTAGAAAGTGCTGTACTGGCCCAAACACAGCAACCAGACTTGGAATATGTGCGATTCTGATGAAAAGGGAGACAACGTGGATGAACATACTGCACTGGCAATTACTGCCCCTCCTCAATTCACTGAAATTCACGTTTACTGCTGCACCGAGTCGGGGCATGGAGATTGGTTTCTACTTCTGGGGGAAAAGCAGGGCTCAAACTTTTTCCCCAGACAGGTGATGACTGTCTGGTCTATAAAAGGAACTCTGTCACGTTCCTCCCTTCATGGAACCCCACACAGCGTTCCCTAGAAAC